CAGAGCAGCGAGGCGCCGGCTCCCATCGCGGCGCGCCGGGGATCGCCCGGCTCCGCCCCGGCACCCGGAGGGAGGTCCTGCCCCGTGTGAACGCGCGGCTGCAAAACCCGGGCTGGATCCCGCCCTGCGGGACTCGCTCCTCTGACCAGCGCAAGGGGGCCTTGCGGAGCGCCCGGTCTCCACAAGGAGCCTCCGCTCCCGAAACCGCACCCCTCCGAGGAAGTGCGTTGTGCCCAGGGAAGCTCCTGCTGCTAGATCCCTCCACTTGTTAGGCTCTAAGGCTACATCTACACTGGCAGGATTTTCCGGAAATGCTTTTAACGGAAAAGTTTTCCAGTAAAAGCATTTTCGGAAAAGCACGTCTCGATTGGCAGGACGCTTCTCTGCAAAAGCACTTTTCGTGGAAAAGCGTCTGTGGCCAATCTAGACCCGCTTTTCTGCAAAAAAGCCCCGATCGCCACTTTCGCCATGTCTACACTGGCCCTTTTGCACAAAAGTCTTTCGGAAAAGGACTGTTGCCCGAATGGGAGCAGCATAGTATTTCCGCAAGAACACTGACCATCTTACATGAGATCATCAGTGTTCTTGCGGAAATTCAAGCGGCCAGTGTAGACAGCTGCCAAGTTTTTCCGCAAAATCAAATGACTTTGCGGAAAAACTTGCCAGTCTAGACCCAGCCTAAGGTGCAAAGTTATAGAGAATGCTGCTAAGTCTTTGACCCTTGAAAGAGCTTAAAAAACAGCAAATCGTCCTGTGCACCTGAGGATACCTCTGCACTCCGCTATCCCGAAATAGCTACCCCTCCTCTACACAAACCAGCCTGTATTTCGAAATATTTTTTTGAAATAACAGGCACACTATTTTGACATCCTGGTAAACCTCGTTGCACAAGGGATAAGAGAGGTCTCGAAACAGTGCGTTCTTGCAAAATATTGGTGCCGTGTAGACGCTCCAAATTTCAAAATAAGCTCTTTTGAAACAGATTCGAAATAGGATACGCAATTTGCACAGCGCAAATTGCGTATCTTATTTCAAGTTTAGGGTGCCGTGTAAATGCACCCTTCGGGTGTGTCTACACTGCAGGGCTTAACGCGAAATAAGCTCCGCAAATTGAGCCACAGCAATTGCGTATCTTATTTCAAAATTGGGAGCATCTACACAGCCCATATTTCGAAATAGAGCACTCTTCTTCCGACTTCCCTTGCTCCTCGTACAAGGAGGGTTACAGGAGTGGGAGTAAGAAGTCCTCCAGCTTGACAGTATTTTAACACTACAGGCAGTCCCCGAGTTACGCGGATCCGACTTATGTCTGCAGACCAGGGGAACGGGGAGCAGAGCAGAGCAAAGCGGCGGAGCACGCGGCCAGCGGACAGCCCAGACGCGTCTGGGCTGTCCGCTGCCCGCGTGTTCCACCGTGCTTTGCGGGCCATGGTTGGACTTTTAACTTTGCTCCTGGCAGAAACAGGGCTGTAGTGATGTGGGGGAGGGGGGAGCTCTTCCAGCTGGACAGCTTCTACTGCAAACTCCCCAGTTTTAAAGACAGAGGCCGTGGTCATCAGGGAGAAGCTTTCCAGCAATGCAGGGAACGGTTCAAGCTGCCACCCCACCCCACCCGCACTGTAGTGTGAGACTTTTACATTGCCTCTGTCTAAAACGGGGGAGTTTGCATTAGCAGCTGTCCAGCGGGGAGAGCCCCTGCCCCATTATCATCACGGCTCACTAAAGCTCACGATACCATCTGTGTGCTTGTGGGTGGGTCTACACCGCAACACTATTCCAAAATAACTTAGTCTGCATATACACAGCTGGCTGGTATTTTGAAATACAGGCAGTCCCCGGGTTACGTACAAGATAGGGACTGTACGTTTGTTCTTAAGTTGAATCTGTATGTAAGTCACAACTGGCGTCCAGATTCAGCTGCTGTTGAAACTGATCAGTTTCAGCAGCGGCTAAATCTGGATACCAGTTCCGACTTACATACAGATTCAACTTAAGAACAAACGTACAGTCCCTATCTTGTACGTAACCCGGGGACTGCCTGTATTTCAAAATACCAGCCAGCTGTGTATATGCAGACTAAGTTATTTTGGAATAGTGTTGCGGTGTAGACCCACCCACAAGCACACAGATGGTATCGTGAGCTTTAGTGAGCCGTGATGATAATGGGGCAGGGGCTCTCCCCGCTGGACAGCTGCTAATGCAAACTCCCCCGTTTTAGACAGAGGCAATGTAAAAGTCTCACACTACAGTGCGGGTGGGGTGGGGTGGCAGCTTGAACCGTTCCCTGCATTGCTGGAAAGCTTCTCCCTGATGACCACGGCCTCTGTCTTTAAAACTGGGGAGTTTGCAGTAGAAGCTGTCCAGCTGGAAGAGCTCCCCCCTCCCCCACATCACTACAGCCCTGTTTCTGCCAGGAGCAAAGTTAAAAGTCCAACCATGGCCCGCAAAGCACCTTGGCAGACGTCTGTTTGCCGACAGGGGTTGCCTCTTTCCTGAATCACGATTACACGGGGAAGCAACTGGACAGGCTCTTGCAGCCCCTTTCCTTTCGCTGCAGCCAAAGGGGGGATGTTTTGAGGCCCCCCTTGTTAAAATCACAGCAGCCCAGGACTGGTTGCAGTGAAACCAGGCTGCCCTGTTTGCTTAGTCAGTGCCACCAGCACATTTCCCCCCCGGTTTCTACGAGGGAAGCGGTGGTGGTGTTTCCATGTAGGATTGTGCATCCACAGGGGTTTGGCCACTTGGAGCAGAAGCAGCTCTGACCCCACAATACTTGGGAGCTGAAGAAGTTCCCGGCCAGTTGCTGCAGACACAGAACTGCCACACAATAACAATCTACCAGCCACAAACCCTCTCCTGTCCCTCCTGTCCTGGCATTTTCACCTAACCCACCTTCAACGCCAAAGGGCCATCTGCACATTTTTACCACTGCACGTCTGTCCTGGCATTTTCACCCAACCCACCTTCAATGCCAAAGGGCTTGCAACACCTCTCAGCTTAGTGCCATCTGCACATTTTTACCACTGCACGTGCCAGCACAATAACAGACTCATTCCCGGACCAGCTAACCGGACCGTATTCTCCGCTCATGTAAATCAGGGTAGCACAGCTGAAATGGATGACGCGACATTGGTTTGCACCAGCAGAAGATCTGGCCCATTTGTTGTCTTAGGGACTGAGGCAAGTCCACTGAAATCAATGGGAGTCTTTCCAATAATGCCAGTGAGGTTTGGAGTAGGTTCTTAATGACTCCTCTTAATTCCAAGCCTCCAGCCCCATAGTCGTGTTTGTTTTTCTTGCCCAATTGCCCTTTAATATTATTCATCTTTCTAGCTCCAAGGAGACCTTCCTCCTTTATTCCAAGGTTATTCTGGTCAGTTCCACATGCCTCCTTAGTTAAGGCTAACAGGCCACTATTTTAAAATAATCATGTCTAAATAGACTAAGCTTCTCTGCTAAGCCACGTGGTCTATAAAACCTGTGTAGACAGCATATGCTGCCTCTGGTGTCTAGTCCCTATAGACGATAACAGCCTACTACTGTTTCTGATTAAAGGAGTTTTTCTTTTGCTCCAGCAGAAGAGATTTTTGCTGGAGCTGTTGGGTCCAATTTCTGAAGATGGCCCATGCCGAAGATTTCATCTGCATGGCATAATAAGCCTCAAGAATTAAAGAGCCCCCTTTGCAAGAACAATGAGATGGGGCTAATTAGAAGAACAATATCCTCCTTGCAACTGCAATGCTTGCTCACTGGCTAGATTTATAGCCTGATCACAATGGTGCAATTAATGTCAAGGGTCACTTCACCTATTGCTGGTCATTTTCTGTCTTCTTTTTTAACTCATCTGCCAAGAAGCCACGTGAGTTCTGTTTTGAACACATGCTCTATAAACTGCAACGTAATAATCTACTAGCAACAAACCCTCTCCTGTCCCTTCTGTCCCGGTATTTTCACCCAACCCACTTTCATCTCCAAAGTGCTTGCAATACCTCCCAGCTTGACGTCATCTGCACATTTTTAAGTCTTCTCTCCGCTCCATTATCCAAGCCATTTATGAAAATATTGAATGGTACCAGAGCCCTATGGGACCACACTCGATACATCCTTCCACTTTAGCAGTGTTAGTCTGTAACTTTAAAAACAGTGAGTAGTTCTGTGGCACCGTAGAGACTAACAAATATATAGGATCATGAGCTTTGATGGGTAAAACCCTCTTCATTAGACAAGCATTTCCACTCCTACTCATCTAAGGAAGTGGTTTTACCCACAAAAGCTCATGATCCTATATCATTTTAATCTTTAAGGTGCCACAGAACTACCTGATATTTTTAAAATGCAAGGTATGTCACTGAAGAAGAAAAAATTCAATGCACAACTATAAAAACCCTAAACTCAAAATAAGATACGCAATTTGCGCTAAGCCATTTATGAAAATATTGAATGGTACCAGAGCCCTATGGGACCACACTCGATACATCCTTCCACTTTAGCAGTGTTAGTCTGTAACTTTAAAAACAGTGAGTAGTTCTGTGGCACCGTAGAGACTAACAAATATATAGGATCATGAGCTTTGATGGGTAAAACCCTCTTCATTAGACAAGCATTTTCACTCCTACTCATCTAAGGAAGTGGTTTTACCCACAAAACCTCATGATCCTATATAATTTTAGTCTTTAAGGTGCCACGGAACTACTTGATATTTTTAAAATGCAAGGTGTGTCACTGAAGAAGAAAAAATTCAATGCACAACTATAAAAACCCTAAACTCAAAATAAGATACGCAATTTGCGCTACACAGATTGTGTATCTTATTTTGAATCTGTTTTGAAATAGCTTATTTTAAATGTCAAGTGTCTACACAGCGCCAATATTTTGAAAAAAGCACTATTTCGAGACATCCCGTATCCCTCGTGCAATGAGGTTTACAGACAATGAACCATTAAATAAAGAGAAGTGCAAAGTCTCAGAGGGGTAGCCGTGTTAGTCTGTAACTTTAAAAACAGTGAGTAGTTCTGTGGCACCGTAGAGACTAACAAATATATAGGATCATGAGCTTTGATTGGTAAAACCCTCTTCATTAGACAAGCATTTCCACTCCTACTCATCTAAGGAAGTGGTTTTACCCACAAAAGCTCATGATCCTATATCATTTTAATCTTTAAGGTGCCACAGAACTACCTGATATTTTTAAAATGCAAGGTATGTCACTGAAGAAGAAAAAATTCAATGCACAACTATAAAAACCCTAAACTCAAAATAAGATACGCAATTTGCGCTACACAGATTGTGTATCTTATTTTGAATCTGTTTTGAAATAGCTTATTTTAAATGTCAAGTGTCTACACAGCGCCAATATTTTGAAAAAAGCACTATTTCGAGACATCCCGTATCCCTCGTGCAATGAGGTTTACCGGGATGGCAAAATAGCATGCCCATTATTTCAGAAAATATTTCGAAATAACGGGCAACTTGTGTAGATGTGGGGTAGCTATAAAATATGACATCTGAATACAACAAACCCTGTCCCCTGGTTTTTTTAGGTTGTTTTTTCCACGTTTGGGAGGGCAATCATTCTTGGTTTGCGGCAGTTATCTGGCAAGCCTCAGGCTGGTTTCTGGGATTATCGGCTCTGCCCAGAGGATGGACTCTAGTTAGTGAGATTAAGACAGAGCTTGAACTAGTTGTCCCCAAGCAACCCTCTACAGCAGTGTTTCTCAAATTTTTTTTATAAAGTACCCCCTTAAAAACAATTATAAGAACCCCCAGTACCTACAATTTTCAGACACACAATTTTTTTCTACCATTGCAACACATTTGTTCAAACAACTTAATCGTAGCCAGGTGGGCAATGAAATTTTTGGGTGTAAAAAGTACAAAAATAATAAAGCACTGTAAAACTTAAAACAAAAATTCAGTTTTCTCCAAATTTCAATTGTGTTGACATCTCCCTTCCCCCCCCCCCTTCTCTCGAGTACCCCTAAGGGTACTCATACCACTGGCTGAGAAACACTGCTGTACAGCAGTGTTTCTGAAAGTGTACCGCAGAAACACTTTCAGAAACACTTTAACTGGCTGCTGTGATTTGTTTATGCACTGGCACCATGGCCATGGAGCCTCGCGGCTCCCATTGGCTCCGTTGCAACCAATGGGAGCTGCGGCTACAATTAAGTTGTTTAAACAAATGTGTTGCAATGGTAGAAAAAAATTGTGTGTCTGAAAACTGTAGGTACGGGGGGTATGAATGCTTTTTTTTAAAAAGAGACACTTTATAAAAAAGGTTGAGAAACACTGCTCTACAGTACACCAAACTAAAAGCAACATTTGATGACCCACAACTTGACAAACAGCGCCACCTAGTGACTCCCCTCCTGCTATGCCCAAAGGCAGCTAGTACTTTAGCAGGGTTGAGCTACAGTCGGTCAAATACAAACTAGACTTGTTCCAGGTTGTTATGGGTGAAACTCATCTCATTGAAGGGCAGCCCAGGGCCTCTGCCCACTTGAGTCTTACAGTTTTAAAGGCTGAAATGGGGAGTAGGCAGGAACTCCCCCGCTGTCATGTTTCCATGGAGCGGTTTCTGCCTGGCGAGCTTTTTAGTTTGTCCATCATTCTCCTGCCCGATGCACTGGAAGACGGACTCTTCGGATCCACCCCATGGAATTTAATTCTTTACAGAGAATTTAATTCTGATACAGAGGCAGCAGTGCAGAGTGGTAGGGGGCACCCCGGGAGCAGGGCCGGAGCACACTGGCTGCCAGCCCGGCCCCCGGGGACTCCAGAATAGTTGAGTAACTGATAAGAATTCATGAGGTTACTTGACTGTGCAATAATCGATACTCACCATCCCTAGGACAAGCAGAAAGTTATTTCATGTGGGAACGTTCCTAGGACACTCTGCTGAGTCTGCTAACGAAGGCGGTGATTTTAGGTGATGTAATACAGACAGCTGCCTACCGCAAGTCAACAAGCCACCACAACAGGACCCGGGACCGAATTATACCCCTAGGTCTACTGTTAACTCATTGCATGTCCTGGCAACTCTAACACTTGTTAAACATCACTCTCCTGATCCAGAAAAGGGGAAAGTGGTACTTAACCGTCTTTATAAAACTCTTGCTAATCGACTGCTGGAAAGTGCTACACAAGAGCTATTACTCATCTAGTCCTATCCTTATCAGACTGCGGGGGCTTATGTAATAGCATGTGTGTCTACAGAGTGTGGACAGGAGCTGCCTTCCAAACGCCAGCAGAGGCGAGGCAGGGAGAGATCACTGCAGTTTTACAGGTGAGGAAACATGACACACAAAGCGACCCGCTCCAGGTCCGATGGCTGCAAAACCTGACGCAAAATTTGGGAGGCTCAGCCTCCTGCGGCCATGCTCTGCGCACTTGCTCACGCCATGGTTACGTTACTGAGTGGGTTGGAGAAGAAAAACAATCGAGGTGAAAACAGACTGTAGCAAGGCCCTGGGAAGTCCTGTTTCCAGGAACAGAGACACACCACACTCTAAACATCATGCCGGCATCATTTATTCTCCGTGTTTGCGGCAAGGCAGCAAACATCCCGTTGGGTGCGTTCACAAAGCAAGTTCATCTCTCTTTGGAAACTCTGGGCATTTCATTCTAGACTGGGAAGAGCGAGATCCCCTCCGTTCGAATGTCACAGCAGAGAATCGGTGGGGGGAACGGCGAAGTGGCCCTCCCCCAGAGATCAGAGGGGTCAAGGAACCGACGCCCCTACCGTTCCCGGCGTAATTTGCAGAAGTACATGGGTCCAAAGTTAGCCGTGAGGTGGGGAAGGACTAGCTCGCCCAGCCTGCAGTCTGCAAAGAAAGAAAACGTGTCCTGGAAGAGTCTCCTGACGTAGCTTAAATCTTCAACGCGGACACGGATGTTGTGTTCGATTTCTGCTATCTCAACGGCTCTCTCCACGACATACTCGTTCTGCAGCTGAGACAGGGAGCATGTGGAATACATCACTTCCCCGCCCGGCCTGGCAGCGAGCAGCCCAGCGCTGGATGGGAGAGGAAGAAAAAGACAATTATGGGGTGTCAAGGAGCATGAACGCGCTGGGACTGGATGTACCGATTGTCTTACATGAGACAATCCCCATTATGCAGATGGGAGACTAAGGCATAGAGCATGAGAGGAGGACGGAGTTTCTGGATGCTGCAGTTTAGATGGCTGTATGGACACTGCTTCCCGCAGCTCCCATTGGCCGGGAACGGCAATCTGCAGCCAATGGGAGCAGTGATCGCCTGTGCCTGCGGAGGCGCAGGTAAACAAAGCGTCTCGCGGCCAGCTAGCGGCTTGCCCTTACAAGCCGTGACCCAGAGTTTGAAAAACCCTGCTCTACGCTATCACCACAGCTGCACAAGAATGTAACACTGCACTGATCAGCATCTGGCCCACATGGAAACAGAAGCAGGAGGAATCACCGGGCTGGAAAGGAGACCTTAAATCAGGCCTACTCAACATGCGGCCTGTGGTGCAGTTTGGGTTAATTCAGGGCTCAACACATGGCCCGTGGGTGGAAGACACAACAAAAAAGTCAGCAGTATAATGGTCTTTTGTTGAGATGCGTTTTAGTAGTTAAATTCCTGGACTGTCATTGCTCATTAAAAGTGCTGTCCTATGAGTGGAAATTGGGTAAATGTTGCATTTAGTAATACCAGCAGAACTGACTTAAATGGGGCCTGAGAGTTGTGTAGTCTTGCCTTAATCTTTGTATTCATGCCTGTCAGTGTGAAAGAAGCTATTTGCATATATTTGCATGTCTATGCAACCACACTTAAGTTGCAGCTTCGGCATATGCTGCAAGTATCATTGTGACCTCCGGGGCTTCCAAAGTTGAGTAGCCCTGCCTTCAACAGTAGACAAGGATTCATTTCAACCACATGCTCCTGGGACACAGGTCCAGCTGAGAAAGGATGCAGAGAAAGAAAGGAGGACTATATTGGGATTCTAAAGATCGGCTTCAATATTTGGGTTTTTTGCCACTGACTCCCTGGGTGCCTGCTCTATGCCTTAGTCACCCATCTGCAAAATGGGGATACGAAAGCGTCCTGTCTCACGGGGATGTTGTGAGGATACAAGTTCACTAGCGTCCGAGAGGCGCTCAGACACCGCAGTTACAGGAAACGGCGTGAATTCTCCAAACAACGCCTCATTCGACGCCACTCTCCCACACCGACACACCCTGGAGAACGGTTTTCTATGCTCAGCTGCCACCAGCCAGCGTAAGAACTTGGGTGGGCAGACAGATCAGCTGCATCAGCGAGGGTCAAGCTCACTCACAGAAGCAGCTGCATCTGCAGCATCGGTAACATCTGACGCTCCTTCGATCTCAGGCGACTGAAAATGTTGTTGTCCTCTTCCATGACCGAGTGTCTATCCGTCGTACACGGCACATCCACCAGCACCTGCGAGACAGAGGGCGGGGATCTGATTACAGCTGAGACAGTCCTTCCGAGTCCTTTTCCTTTACCTAATTCTGCACACAGTCTGAGCCAGACAGCAGTTTATATAGTTCCCTTCGCCATAGCAAGAGTGCAGTACATGCACCAGATTGTCATGAGGCCAGGGGATGAGCAGGTAAAGAAAAGCTAGATAATTTCATGGAGGTTAGGTCCATAAAAGGCTATTAGCCAGGGGATCAAATGGTGTCCTTGGCCTTTGTTTGTCAGAGGCTGGAGAGGGATGGCAGGAGACAAATCGCTTGATCGTTGTCTTCGGTCCACCCCCTCTGGGGCACCTGGTGCTGGCCACTGTGGGCAGACAGGCAACTGGGCTAGAAGGACCTTTGGTCTGACCCAGTACGGCCGTTCTTATGTTCTTATGTTGAGAGAGAGATTTTAAAAGGGCTGATCATTTCATACTCTCGCATTCGGAATTATATCAGTTAAGGGAAATTAAACAAAGGTTCGCTCTTGCAGAGCAAGAGTTAAGAAGCAAATTTCCCCTCCTCCCCCAATGCATTGCTGGAAAAACAAATGACTGCTTTCCTCAGACGCGTCTAACATCTTCCTCTACCAATGGCAGGAAATTCAACTCGACAGACCTACCTTTCCCAATTTTCTAGTCACTTACCCTGTTGTACGTGTCCCCCTCCAGGTCCCCCCAATTCCTTCCGTCCCAGGACGTAATACGCACGCCCGCGCTGAGGCTCTTGGGAAGGTAGCTACTGAGAACTCTGCGCAGTCTGCTACTGCGGGAAGCCGAGATATCGTTGGCGGCCAGCTGCCCTGTCATGAGAGAGACACAACGGAACACACCTTGAGAAAAGACGGGAAGAAAACGAGAGACAAACTGAAATCGCCAGCCCCTGCCGTCACAGCAGCGCAATCGTACGGGAAACGTTCCACCTGACATTAACAGTTGGTTAGGTCTCTGCATCTCACTCCATGCCAGTATAACTTGGGGAGAGGGATCTGTAAGGAATCGATTACTTCAATCCTGTGAGAGCGAGCAAAGATCACCCATTAACCATCCAACCCCACCTAGCTCCTGAAGGAGGGATGTGAAAGGTTAACCGCTAAGCATCATCCTAAACAGGTAGGCTTACTGGTTCCAGTTAATTGCTAGAGCAGGGGTGGGTGAAGGGTCCGCTGTGGGCCAGACCTGGCCTGCCAAGCTGGTGGATCCCACTCACTGCCACCCCACCGCTTCCCCACCCCAGGCCAATCAGGGTGCGAAGTCTCCCCACCCTCACAAGTGCACGGCGCTGCTAGAGAGACCCGCCGGCTGTTTTTAAAAAAGCCGGCTTTTATCTCTAGCTGCTGTGGGTGAGGAGGGAGCGTGCAAAGTTTCTCACATCCTTTCTCTGCCTTGCCAGGGGCACACAACGGCTAGAGAGACCCGCCGGCTGTGCACGCTCTTGCAGGGTGAGGAGACTTCACATGCTCCCCCGCCCCCAGGCTCTGATTGGCCTGAGGGCAGGGAAGGCGCGTAAGGTCTCCTCCCTCTAGGTGCCTAGAGGGAACGCCAGCTGTTTTAAGGGGGCGGGGAAGGGGAAGACTTCTCCCGCTCCCCTCCCAGGCCAATCAGAGTGGGGGGGGGAGCACAAGAAGTCTTCTGGCTCCGCCCCTTCTGCCCGAGGCCACTTCAGACACTTCAGACACTTCAGACGTGGCCCCCTTTGAAAATGTATTGCCCACCCCTGTGCTAGGGCTGGAGCGGCTCCCCACCCACCCCAGACAGGGGCTGGCCCAGGCCCACGGGATCCACTGCAGGCAGGAGTCCACATCGGGCCCAGCCCCCCTGCTGCAGGTTCCCTGCTGCAGGTTGCACACTGGCTCCCTGGGAGCCGGCTGCAGAGCTTACAGGGAAACCTCCCCGGGAGTGAGACCGGCAGCTCTCACCGGCTCTGCTCCCAGGGAAGCAGCTTCACTGCGGCAGCAAAGTCTCCCCCCCAGGAATGGGGCTGGCAAGGGCTGGGTGTAAAGCTTTACGCTGCAGCGTGTAACCACTAAGATTTCTAGCAGTTACACAGTTAGCTTTTGAAACGGATTTTGACATCCCCATCCCTACGCTGAAGCACCACCTGTGGACAGGAGAAGCAGAAGCGGGGGGGAGGTTAAATAGCCATCTTTACTTACGGCAACACCCTGTCTGCAGAAGAGCTAGAGTCTTGCCCCCGGGTGCGGCACAGAGGTCAAGAACTAGGTCCCCAGGCTGCACGTTGAGGGCCAAGACAGGCAAGAGCGACGCGGCATCCAGCAGATAGTAGTCGAGAGTCCCAAAAGCGTCGGGTCTAGAAACCCCAAGAGTTGATGAAAAACAAACTGTGTTAGGAGAAACTGAAAGGAAGTCAAG